ATTCCAATATTCATTATTACAATGTTTTTTTTGCTATTTAGAAGGTGGCTAAGAAGGTTAGTAATTTTTTTCAGAATATGAATTCTTTGCAAGATTTTTATAAGAAGGGGGATGTGGACAGTATCATATGTCTTGGACATATCTTGTGCAAAGACCCAATATTCTTTGTTAGTAATATTTGCATGTTCAATGATATGAGTTACAGTTTGGATTGGTTGGAGGGTTGATGCAAATGGAAGGGCTATATTGTTGTTTTTTGAAAGAATTTGGTGTTTAGCAAGTATTTGGTTTAGGCAGAGTATTAGTATTTTTGTAAAAAATTTTTGTATATATTTAATTAGTATGATAGGACATATATAATTTAAATTATTGTTGTAGTGTTGTTTTTTTGGGATAGCCTATATATTTGCCATTCCCCAGCTTTTTGGTGTTTGTTCCAATTCTAGATATACATTGAAGATTAGAAGTAAAGATGAGATTGCAGTATGGGGTAAGTGTTTTAACATTTTATTAGATATGCCCGATGGCCTAGTTGCTTTTTGTGTTGGAGTAGCATTGATTGTAGTGTTATTTCATTATGCGTTATTGGTAGAGTGAGATTATTGTAGATATGAGGTAAGATGTTGGGGAGAGGTTGTAGATAGGGTATTCATTCCTGTTCGAAGTTTGTGTCTGTTGGATTAGACTTGGTCTAGTTGTTGAAGTGGTCTCTTGTTGCTTGTTTTATTTTTTTTGGATCCGTGATTATCTTATCAGAGGTGATTATTTTGTTGTAGGAAATATTTGCTTTTCCACGCTTTAGTATGCTATTAATCATTCTTGAGATGTTTGTTTTCATATCTTTGTAGCATTGCTAGATATAGAAGTTTATTTTTTCTCTTTGTGCTGCTTTGGTCTCAATGCTTCAGGCTTTTCATATTGTATTTTTTAGATTTTTTAGTATTGCAAGGAATTGGGTATAGTTAGTCGTCAAATCGTAGAGTTGGCAGTATGTTGTCTGTATTTTGGTTAGGGAGTTTATCTTGTTGAGTGAAGTATTAATCATTTGGGCTATGAAGGTAGGTGAGTATGAGGGTTGAATTGAGCAAGTATTACGAAATGTGTTGTTGATTGTTTTGAGTGCTATATGAAGTTTGGTGGTTTTTGATGAAATCACATAAAAGATTTTCCATGACTTGAGAGTTGTTGGTATTTCTCAATCAGCAATTGCCTTGATTGTGTTTGACTACTTGTTCCAATGTTTGTTAAGTTGGTCTTGGTTGGTAGTGGGTAATGATATATTTAAAGTCTTGAAATCATTTTTAATAGCTTTTGAAAACTCTTGCCAGGAGTCTGAGTTTATTTGTTTATAAAGGTAGTTTTTTTTTTTCTTTTTTTTAGTTTGTGGGATTTTGAGGTTAAAGTTAGTTGTCTAAGTAGTCTGGATAATCATATGGTTGCTGTCAGTGATTTCCGTTGGGTCTAACAGAATGAAGTTAAGAATTATTTCTGGGTTAATCCAAATGTTGTTGATTTGACTATGTAGAGGGCCATGTTTCCAGGTAGATCCTGCAACTGAGAAGAAATCGAGGAGACTTGAAGATAATAAGGATTGCAAGGTAGAGAATAGTTTGGAGGTTCTTTTGCAGTATTTTATATTATCATTAAAGTTACCAAGAGTTATGGTATGCCAATTCTTGTGTCTTGCTTTGAGGAGCCAGTTTGCAATTGTGTTTTGTGTTGAGGTTGACTGGTCTAGGTGGTTAGAGGGTAGGTATAATGATATGAGTCGAAGCTTGTTTCTAGATGGGAAGTAGAAATCGATGCATATTGCGGTGCTTGGGAATGTTTGTATATTGTGAATATAAGGTTGTAGAGCTTTGTGTAGTACAACTGCAGTGCCAAGGCTTGCTTCACATTGTACTTTGTTTTTTGAAGAGAAATTAGATATATATATGGTAGTATGGGTTGGTAAGGGATGCAGATGTGAAGTCCTTTAATTTTGTTTTGGTTAACAAGATAATGTGATATTCATTTGCAGTGCAGAATTCAAGTAAGAATTGAAGTTTGAATAAGTCAGTAAGTCCTTGTGTGTTATGAATAACTATGTTTAAGTATTTATGGATGTCGAGTTCAGTGACTAGGGGTGTGTCATTATTAGAATCAGAAAAAAGCAATGGTTGGTTAGAATATTGTAGAGAAATGGAGTTATGTAGGCTTGCAGGTGTTGTCTGTAATATGGATAAATTAGAATAGTTGAGGTTAGTAGGCAGTAAGCCGGTTTGATAGGTTTCATTCATTGAAGTGGGGAGTAGTTATCTAGGATGTCCCAGTGAGGGTCCGGTAAGTTAGGAAGGTTGAGGAGATAAGAAGGTGTGCTTTGAAAATTAAAGTGGTTTCGTAATTCTGTGATAGTGCTTTTGATTTTTTCATGATTAGTAATAGAGATGTAAATTGTGTAATGAAGATTAGTTTGCTCTAAGTAAGAGGTAATTTCAGAGAGTTGAGATAAAAGTGGTGGTTTGGCTGAGGTATTTGAGATTATGTGGATCTTGATCTATTTATTTGGGATTTAATAGAAAAAGTAGTGTTCTCTTAGAAGTCGAGCAGTGTCAACTAGTGCTTTGGGGCTTGTGATAAGTATAGTTAAGTTAACTTTGGTAATTAGATTAGCTTTACTGAGAAGTGGGGTTTGTTTGTAGAATTGACTGTTATGTAAGAGAGTGGGAAAGGGATATTGAATTTGTATTTGTCTTGGATTTTTGCTACAAATTCTTTTGCTTGGTGTGTATTAGAGATAGGGAAATTAAAGGTTCCAGTTGTTTTGATCAAGTGTAAATTTTTTGGGAGTGATTTCTTTTGTACAAAGAAATTGTTAGAAATGTGTCGGAAGCTGTAGTGTTCTCTAAGGATGTCAACATATCTATGAAATTCTGATATGTCAATAGAATTACAGAAAAATAGGTGGTGAATTGCTAAGGTAAGGTTTTGAGGTGTTGATGGGAGCCGTGGTTTTGCTTCGGATAGGTTAAAGTAGTTTGAAGGTATTCTTTCTATGATGTAGTATTTCATTAGTTTTGAACAGTATTTAGAGAGAAATAGTAGTCTGGCCTGTTCTGTAATTGGGAAGAGGTCTCTAATTTTGATGTGAAGATCAGCTGGATTATTTGGAAGTGGTTTGAGGACTATGATGAAATGGCTATCAGAAAGTTTGTCAAAGGTAAAGATTTTTCATAATGCCAACACTGTAGCTTGGGTAAGTTTATGGTCTTTGATTGGTAGCAGAAAGGGGAGAATTTGTTGGATTGGCAGTTCTATTTCAAGTAGGTCTGGTAGTAGAGAAATAAGTAAGGTTGAGTGTGCTTCATTGATCAATCTACGGAGTTCTTTAAAGCTAGGTTTGCAGTTTATCTGTGCAAAGTTAAGGCAATATGTAATAATTCGAGTGCAGTTGTGGAGACTATTGGTAAGGAAGTCTGTGTTGTATATGAAGTTGATAGCTAGTTTGGCTTTGAGTTTGGCAAAGATTTGATTCCTGTTGAATTTGTTTATAAAGTAAACATTATGCAGTCTTTTGTATTTCTCTATAGCTATTTGTAGAAGTGAGTTAAATTCTTTTTGGTGTGGTGGTTGTGTTTCTTTATTTTTTGTGAAAGATCAGAAAAAAGCCAAGTCAAGGTACTCAAATTTTGTTTTAATTGCATTTGGTAGGTTGTGTTGGGTTGAATTAGTTTGGATTTTGTGTTGAAGAAATTTTAGAAGAAGTTCTGATAATGAGAAAGTGTTGATGATAGTATCATTATTCCAGGTTATCATGTCGAATTCCTGTGTATGAGCTTTTGCTAGTGTGATAGTAACTGAATTACACCAGGTGAGTGAACAGTCATCTTTGGAATGTTTCTTTTTAGATAGATTAGAAGTGAGTATGCTGCTATATGATTTCTTTGGGGGTGAGAGTGATTCGATAGTTGCATTGGATTGGATGTCCATCTGGTCATCTAACTCTTTGTTTGATTGGGTTTGTTGTATGAGCTCGATAGAGGTTGATTGTTGTGGATCTGAGTTTCAGGAGTTATCTTGGTTGAGATGCAGAAATGGATCGGGTATGTTGTAATGATCAATTACTATGTCTATGGTCTGGGAACTTAGATTGTATGTATTATTTCCCATGCTTGTATGTTTGTTTATGTTGATTCCCACGCTATTTTGTTTGTTTGTATTATTTTCCATGCTTGTTTGTTTGTTTTGTTTTGATGATGTCATAGTTGTTTTTGACAGGGGTTTACTAGATTTTCCACTTTGAGTTGAGTTTTTTGGTACAGGGGGTGAGAGTTCAATAGTGTTTGTGGTGTTTTTAGGTTGTGAAGTTATTTTCTTCTTTTTAAGTTTTGCTTTGTTGGCAGGTTGTCTGAGGTCCCAGTAGGGTCTATCAGAGTAGCACTTGATCGAGTTAGAGAGATGAAAAAAGGTTCAAAGGCTTCAGGAGTAGAGAATAATGCGTTTCTGTTTCTTTTTAGCTTTGTATATATGACTTGGGGTCTAGTCTATAATACTTAGTGCACCCAAAGGGCTAGAAATATATATAAAAACTATTTGTTTTGTATTTTTACGAGTGTTTTCCTCTTATTTTTTGTTTTAATAATCTATAGGAAAGAGTTTTTTTTTTTTTATTATTTTTTATATTTTATAATATTGTATTTATATACTTTTTAATAATCGAATTAATTTTTAATTTAATTTTTATTTTACTCTTTCAAATAAAGTACAATTATCTGGAGTGTTCCAATAATTATAAATTTAATTATAGCTACCATTTTAGTTATATATGTATTTAGGCCTTCAGATAAAGACATAGATATTATGGACAGAGAAATTTCCAAAGAGTTGAATAAAATAATAAATCAACTTTTTGAAAGGCTACAAAAAAAAATTACTGAAATAATAAATAATGCTTCTATCAAAATTTCTAACAAAAGATTGACAGGCACTCTGTTTAATACTAGTGATCGAGTATCTAAAAGATGGCCAAAATAGAAAGAGAAGCAAAACTTTATAGTGATAACAATATCCCACTAGGGGCAGAGACTCTGGTAATGAAAAAAAGAAGAATAGAAGAGCCAAAAACAAAGAAGTTGGGTGAAAAAAGACAGAAAACTTTCGAAAATAATGTAAAATCAAAAGATGAAATTGTTGACAAAGAAAACCTGGACCCTGCAAAACAGACAAATAAGTTGGAGAATAACAAGTTGAAGGACAAGGAAAACATAATCAACAACTGGTTTAATATAACTGAGAAGGATCGGGCCCAAAAGGGCATATCTATACTTGAAACACAACTTGGAAGTAAAGATGATACAAAAAGTTCCAGAAAGTCTTCAGAATCTGAACCAAACAGAATAATATCAGGTGATACCAACGTGATAGAGGTGGACATAGATTCTAAGTTACAAAATATGAATAACAGTATAGAACTGGAAAAAATGACGCATAATGTACAATCAAATAAGCTAATATATACTCTCAAGAAATGGTCCAGTCTCTTTATACAACTAAAACGGGGCCAAGCGACTTTTTCAAAATATAAACCAAGAGTAGAAATTACAACCAAGAATAATAATGCACTCATCTTTGACATTCGTAGCCTGGATAACATACAAATGATCTCTACACTATATAGTAAAATCGGCAGTGATCTAGTTGGGGCAAAACCTCATTATACTAGAGGAAAAAAAACACATTTAGAATTGGTGTTTAGCAATGAAGATAATCAACATTATTATGCAAAAGAGTGTATCTCTCTTTTTAGAAGATCATTACTGGGTTACATATCTACAAACTTGAGAAGAACACATTTAGCAATAAAGGTAGAAAATGTTTCAATCAGTGATAAAGACTTTATATCTAACAAGTTAAAGGAAGCTTTTGAAGACTTTGGATCTATTAAGTCAATTAAACTATTAATATACGAAGATACCCTAGTTTGCACAGATCAATAAATAATTCTATACGAAATGACAGAAGATTCAGAGTTAGAACAAAAAATCTCAAGACATACAAGTATATAGGGCCAAAAAGTTACAACAGAGTGGAAAGCAGCTCCCAGACTTTGTTTTTATTGTGATCAACTAGGGCACTTGAAAAAGGACTGCCTACAATATAAAGAAGCAATAGAGATTAGAAACCAATATAAAAAATATAAAGAAACCATAAGATATAAGCGAGAAAATGCAGGTGAGATGAATTCAAATAGAAACAGCACTAATGAAGAGCAGAATAATGAAAATAGTGAGAAATTAGACAGCTTGATACAGAATAGTACATAGTAGCAACTGAATGAACTTTAGTAAAAATAAACTACAAACATCATACTGGAAGGTGAATTATAAGTGCCTTGAGAATAAGATATTAAGAAAGGAAATTGCAGAGGAAATATGAACAGTTACAGAATTAGAGAGGTAGGATTACTGTAAGTGCAAAATACAGTCTTTAATTAGAGCTAGAAGGATTCTTAAAGCCCCAAAAAGTAGCATTCAAAAGCTAAATAGAAAAATAAACATACTAGAAAGGAAAATTGCCAGAGACAAGAATCTATCTGACTTACAATTAGTGATCGAAAGGCTAAAAGGAGATCTTCAAGATGAACTTATGAATTTAGCTGACAAATAGCAAGTTTGCTCTAATGCAAGGTGGATTGAATGGGGAAAGAAATTAACAAAGTACTTTTATTCCAGATTTAAAACCAGACATAATGTGTCAGCATTAGACAAGATCAAAATTCCTAATAAAATAGAAGTGTCGAGTTCTATAAAGGTACTATATTATATCAAGGAATATTATAATCACATTTATCAACTAGAACCAATTAAAGCAGAGATATTGGATAGAATAACAGAAGGTCTCCCACAAATAGAAGTATCAAACAATCAGAATCTAATTAAGTATATTACAAAAGAAGAGATAATTAAAGTAATACATAGCCTTTCTAACAACAAGGCCCCAGAGACGGACAGTATTACATACGAATTTTATAAGGAGATGATAGATGAAAATAGTGTAGTATTTGAAAAAAATTTTAATGATGTAATCAAAAAAGGTAAAATGCTCAGCTTGTGGTATAAAAATGTGATAACATTGATTTCAAAAAAAGTGAAGAATTTAGAACACATTCAAAATTAGAGATCTATCTCTTTAACAAATTGCGATGTTAAAATATTCATAAAGATCTTAGCTAACCGTCTCAATAACATCTGCCAGAAAATAATCGGTACTCACTAGCAAGATTTTATAAGAGGAAGGTTAATATTGGAATCTGTGATAGACATCATATCTGTTATGAGAAATCAGATTGATCAAACACAGCAATGTTGGATGTTGTTTCCAGACCAACAAAAAGCTTTTGATCGTGTTAGCCATATATATTTACAAGAGGTATTAACAAAGATAAAGTTTAATCCAAGATTTATAAAAACAATTAATATGTTGTTCTCAGAATAAACTGCATTTATAATAGACTTTGGAGTAATATCGGAATTGCTCAAAGTTAATCATGGAGTGAGGCAAGATGACCCACTTTTACCCCTCCTCTACATATTAGCTTTTGAACCTTTTCTTAGATTACTCAATAAAAATCTAATAGGAATAGCACTAAATCAACATTCAAATCAACAAAGATTCAAATTAATGGCCTATGCTAATGATCTCACAATAAGTATAGCATTATATGCAGAATGAGATATTATCACCAAAATAATCCAGGAGTATGAGAATGCGTTAAACACAAAAATTAACAAAACTAAATCAGTACTGGTTCCACTAATGTCTAACGCTCGATGTATAGAACACCATGGGGCAAAGAAGTTTAAAATGTTGCCAGATAACGAGCAGTTAGGGCACTAGGATTTGAGTTAGATTTGCAAGGTAGAATAAGTAAAAATACTTGGCCAGACATGATTTTAAAGATAAAAAATATGCTGAGAAAATTATCACAGCATAATTTGTTTATAAAGGGTAGAATCCTAATAATCAAAACTTTGGTTCTGTCCAAAATTTGGTATATTATATACCTTGCACCTCCGAGTAGAAAACAATTAATGGAAATCAGTAATCTTGTAAGAGGCTGGATCAAAAACTCTTGTAAGATTATCCCTAGATACTCAATTTTACAACAAGAATATAAATATGGTGGCCTAAATACACCAATACTAAAGAACTTAGTAGACGCTAGACTACTTTCTACTTTTATAAAATTACTTACAAGTAACAACTGCTAGGCAAAAGCAGAAAGAGAGATAATTAAGGTAGAGTTGCATAACAAAAGAAACATCATGGTATTAAACACACTTAATGAAGTACTGATAAAAAACAGAGCTTGGCCGGAGTATTGGAAACCTTTTATCATAGCTTGGAAAAGAGCAGAGAGTTCTATAAACAAAAGCCTAGAAGCATGGCCCTAGAGATCTGAAGACATCAAAATTGCTAACATACCAGGGAGTGAATATATAGTGAACAAGGAAGTCTCCTTTTTAAAAAATAAGTCACTGACGACAGCTATACAGAAGTAAGAAAATGATAGTAGGGTAAATAATGACTTGTGGAAGTGGTCCAAACTAAAATGAATTAACAATAAGTGAAAAGATATATTCTGGTATTACTGTTATAAATTACTGCCATTAGAATACAGGCTAAAGCACATAATACTGAGTAACAATGGTAACTGTCCAATGTGCTCCGGAGAAACTCAAACCAATAAACATTTTGGAGCCAATTGTAAAAGCAGTAAAATCATATAGGAAACAGTATACTCACACATAAACCCAGAGAAGACTCCTCCGAGAACCTACAAAGAAATCATGAATATTAAAGATAAGAGTAAGAAGGAGATAGCAAGATGGTTACATGTTAATATGTTATATGAGATTTGGTATTATTATACCCAGGCTAGATGGGGTGGAACGCCAATACCAAAACCTGCACTCTCTATAGTTATTAGGAATAGAATTGAGAAAGAGTTCAAAACATTAAAATATTATAAAATGATCAAAAATAATGGAGATAGGCATATACAATTTTAATGAATAATAGGTGAATAATATAATTAATCATGTAATAATATACATATAACAGAATCAAATAAAGTATGCGATCTGGCATCCCTAGGAGGGGTTTAATAAAAAAAAAAAATAAAAATTTCTAACAAAAAAAGTATAATTTGTAGTGGTATAAAAGAAATTTCACACAAATTACATGCCAAAATTCATAGTAAAAAAATATATGAAATTATTTCCATTGTTTCTAGTGAATCTTGAAGAATGTCTTATCTAATACCCAAAGTTTCTAAATCTGGAAACTCAGCTAACATAGTACAGAGAGACCTCTCTAAATGCACTCTCTATAAATGCATCCTTTATGTAAAATCTCTTTAAATGCACAGTTT